ACTTTACGATTACTATTTTTAATGTACAAAAAATATTTCAAAATCTTGCCGAAGGACCATGTCTTGTATAATAATCAAATATTTGGCGGAGGCGGATATCTGGTATAATAATCAAAATTTTGGCGGAGGCGGATATCTGGTATAATCAAAATTTTGGTGGAGGCGTATCTCTGGTATAATAATCAAAATTTTGGCGAAGGCGTGTATCTCTGGTATAATAATCAAATTTTTCGCAAAAAACTGGAGCAAGAATACTTCGCTCTCTGTCTCAATAGGTCCGTCCGTCAGTTTACTCTTTTTAATACTTTTAAAATTTTACCAAAATACAGAACCATAAAATCAAAGGCTATTGTCCATCAAAAAATTTTTCTATAAATATTTTGTAGAACATCTACGTTTTTTAGAGTTTATACAATTATTTCAGAGAAAAGCAACTGCGGAAAGGCCAAATTTCATCAAAAATTTGCACTCAAATTGGATTTTTTTAAATCTACGGAATTTTCAAATCAATAAAAAATTTTTACGGCTCTTAAGCGCGCAGAAGAACGAGCGGCATATTTTATGTAAGAAAGGAATTAAGAAGTTCTACCGAATTATATTATTAGACATCACTAATTTATTTATAATTTTCTTAATATAATATTAGATCATATAATACGTTAAAAAAACATCAACTGACAACTAGTCTTCTAAAATTAGACCAGTAAGGATCTGTTTTTTTAGGTGCATGTGAGATGTGGCATTCAGATTTTTGCGGATAAAGTTTGGTGATAACTTCGTTAATAATAATTTATTTATGCTCCTTCTCAAATATGCCGGGAACATTAATAAAAAAAATAAAATATTTAAAAATTTCAAAAAATTGCCTTTTTTTTCTACTTTTTTTATTCATTTTAGAACAAAGTCCTACAGGAACAAAACAAAGATAATTAAATTTTCCATCAGATGCGATTGGTTAAAAATGTCTTAATTTATCACCCTTGCTTCAAAATAAATAGCAATAAATATAAAATAAGGGGACAAAACAAGCATGTCCTTATTCAATGATTTTCCATCACTTAGGTTACACCGGGAATCTTCCTAATTCGCTTAGAAAATTTTTGTAATGTGCTAAAACTGTACACCAAATTTCATTAAAATTGACTTACTAGATTTTGCATAATAATTTTGCAATCTCAACTTTTTTAAAAAAATTAAAATGTTTTAAAATCTTGCACAACAAAAACTAGAACATACAAAGATTTGTCATTTTTTTTACGTATAAAGAAGTACTCCACCTATCTAATGCACTTTACAGAATTGAAATCGGATTATTTAAGCAGCTTCAGCAATGTTTTAAAGTTATAAACAAATTTCTGCTGTGGCCAGGAGGGGGCGCTACGGGCTCCTTTATTTAGATGGACTTATCCAAGTTTTTTTTTTATTAATTTTGACCCGTAGAGCACGAATTTTTTGGGTAACAGTTGATCCGGATGTCGATAAGATTGTTATAAACAAAGAATTTGAGGAATTACATTAAATATATTTTTCGCAAAATAAAACATTTTTTTGTATTTCTTGGGTAATTCTAAGCAAAAAATGGTCTTACAAGTTTTTTCGTAGAATGCATAGTTTTCGAGATAAACGCGGTGGAACTTTCAAAAAATCGAGAATCTGCAATTTTGGAACGCGAATAACGTTTGATTAAAAAATAAAATAGCAATTCTGCTCACATCATTTGAAAGTTTAAGTCAAATTATACCGGTTTTAATTATTTGCATTGCTAAAAATTAATTTTTTTAGTATTAAACAAAGCTATTTGTTTATAAGCCAAAAAATTGTTTATAAATTTAAAATATTGCCCCTTAATAATCCGATTTTAATTCTGTAAAGTGTATTAGATAGGCAGAGCACCTCTTTATACAGAGTGAGTTTGATGTATGGAAACACTCAATTATCTCGAAAACGGCTTGCACGATTTTTATAAATTTTGATAGGTAGGGATTTTCTAATGCGTTCGATATTATAGTGCTAATTACATTGTTGTCAGATCTTCTGTATTTCTGCAAATCTAACAAACTTTCTTATTTTAAATGGAACATCCTATATATTTTTTGCGTTTTAAAGTCCTTAAGAAATGCTGAATATTTTTCATGTTATATTCCCTATACCTAAATGCCATAATTTCGGAGTTATTGCTACATTTATTTTAAAAAAAATCTTTTTAAAAATTTAAATCTATTTTCTCGGACCAGAAGGATATTATTTTAGGTTCTTTGGATCATTGGGAACAAAAAAGGTCTTTTGTAATTTTTCTCTAAAATTAATAGTTTTCGGGTAATCAACAATTTAAAACTGAAAAAAATGGAATAATGACGATTTTTAAGGTTTCTAAACCCCAAGTAAAAAATATAATTTTTGAAATTATAAAGTACCTAAATGTAAGCCCAACTCTTCTTCTGATAGCTTGGCATAAGATTTTTTGTCTCTTTTTATTGTAAAACATTGATTTTTAATATTTAATGAAGTGCATATGAGAGGACGGGCGATCGGGCTTCATTAACATTTACAATTAAATATTTTAAAATGAAACAACCTTAAATTACTTATCGGTATCTGATAAAATAAGGATTGATGTTGAATTTGGTACTTCGCAGTTTCAAAAATAAGATTGTTTATTTGTGCTCTTGAACCTTGAATATCGTCGTTATTCGATTTTTTTCAGTTTTAAATTGTTTATAACTCAGAAACGATTAATTTTAGAGGAAAATTATAAAATATCTTTTTTGTTCCCCATGATTCAAACAACCTAAAAGAGTGTACACGGGTCAAAAAAATTGATTTTTATAAGTTGTTAAATTTTTTTTTAATAAATGTAGCAATAACTCAGAAATTATGGTATTTAGGTATAGGGAATATAACATGAAAAATTATCAGGATTTCTTGGTGACTTCAAAACACAAAAAATTTACAGGGTGTTCCATTTGAAATAAGAAAGTTCATTAGATTCACAGAAAAACGGAAAATATGACAACAATGTAATTAGCACTATATTATCGGCCGCATTTAAAAACCCATACTTACCAAAACCTATAAAAATCGTTTAAGCAGTTTTTGAGATAATTGAGTGTTTCCATACGTAAAACTCACTCTGTATGTAAAAAATTTAGCCAACTTCTAAATGGTCTACTTTTTGTTCAGAAAGATTTTAAAAAATTTGTACTTTTTTAAAAACATTTAGATTGCAAATTTATTATGCAAAATGTATTTTGTAAAACATCTACGTTTTTTAGAGTTTATACAAATATTCCAGGGAAAAGCAACTGCGGAAAGGCCACATTTCATCAAAAATTTGGACTCAAATTGGAATTTTGTTAAATTTACGGAATTTTGAAATCAATAAAAATTTTTTACGGATCTTAAGCGGTTATAATTGTACCGAATTATATTATTATCCGTCACTAATTTATTTATAATTTTCTTAATGTAATTTTAGATCATATACGTTAAAATTACTAGTCTACTAAAATGTAAATATCAAAAAGTTCTCGATTTTTCCAAATGCTAAGTATTAACTGTATTGAAATATTAAAAAAAAGGAAGGCAACAACATGCGGTGTTCCCAAGCGGTCACCCATCCAAGTACTAACCGCACCCGACACTGCTTGACTTCGGTGATCGGACGAGAACCGGTATATTCAGTGTGGTATGGCCGTTGCCGATTATAAATGAATCAAAAGTATATGTAAATCTTATATATATATTGCTAATATATTTATTGAGAGTTGTTGAAAATGGATTAAACTTAAGAATCTTATGCTTAATAAACACAGCATCTTCTAAAATATTAATATAAACAATTTACAAACCTTAACAAAATTACAATGTACATCAAAATTAACATACCAGTAATTCAGATTTGTCGATTTTCCCTATATTCTTTCTTTCAGCCTCCTCATTGGCCAGTAATTATGTAATTATACATCGATAATTATATGGATTATCTTCCTACCAACGAGAAATTATATAGAAACCTTTAGTAACAAGTTTTGCCAAGGGTGTACTTTTTATGCCCATCCATATTTAACTCAAGATGCTGCTTTTATTTTTAAAAATATTGGTAGAACCAAATTAACATTCGATAATGAGCTCTCTTTTTAAGGATAGATAATTCAAAAAAAATTAAACACGTAATAAATGTTACAATAGTCTGGGCTGATTATCGGAGAATAGGCCATTGTACTAGCAAAGGTTATAGTAAGGAGATGCGAGTAGAGTGCTCTTAAATGAACTCTTACACCAGCAGATATATGTGGTTCTGAAAAGAACCGTTTTGTAAATGTTTTTTCGTTTTGTTTATGCCCTTTCTCCTCTGATTCTTCTAGCCAGCTGGATGTCCTTAGGCATGATAGTGACTCTTTTAGCGTGAATAGCGCATAAATTGGTATCTTCAAATAAACCTACCAAATATGCTTCACTTGCTTCTTGTAAAGCCATCACTGCCGAACTCTGAAAACGTAAATCTGTTTTAAAATCTTGTGCGATTTCACGGACAAGACGTTGAAAAGGTAGTTTTCTGATAAGTAGCTCAGTACTTTTCTGGTAACGTCTAATTTCACGAAGAGCTACTGTACCTGGCCTGTAACGATGAGGTTTTTTAACTCCTCCAGTTGCAGGTGCACTCTTACGAGCAGCTTTGGTTGCTAACTGTTTACGTGGTGCTTTACCACCAGTGGATTTTCGGGCTGTTTGCTTTGTACGTGCCATTATTTCCGTGTGCGTATACTAACTGCGACTCTAAACACTTGCCAATATATATATATATATATATACAGGCGTAAGGGATGGGAGGATCTCTGGAGGCGTGTCTGTGATTGAAACTAGGAGTATAAAAGTATAGAAGGTGTCAGCATCAGTTTACTAGACTGTGACGACTCGTACTGGAAACACGTACTATTCTGAACATTCTAACCTTGTCACTCTATTCGCTTGCGAACTAGACTGAGCTATTTTCTTCTAAGTTTTGGTGTATATCTGGCCGATCGGACGGTAGACCGAGCGGTTTGGAAAATACGGCAAAATTAGAAAAAATTCAGGAATCGGAGAAATCCGTGCCCCAAATCAATGAATTAGTCTTTGTCAAGACTAACCAAATTCCTTCTGCTAAACCATTTAAACGGTCGTGCAGAATAATCAAATGTACTAGCATTGCTAATACGAAAAGAACAAGCTTAACTAAGGATTTAGTTAACAAATTCAAAAACTACAGGACAACCTCGAATAGAGGTACACTTTCAAGAACGAAAACACAGGAAACAACCAAAAAACAAGTTACAGAAGAAAAGAAGGACCCTAAAGAAGAAATGGCAACCTCAAACATTGAAGTCATGGACCAAGACGGATTCCAGATGGCAAAAGTTTCGAAGAAATCAGGAAGCGAAAATATTATCGACGCACGCGGTAGAGCAGGAACTTCATCCGGTATACCGACAAGCAACGTGTTCGAAATATTCAAGCGTCCTGATCTTCAAAACTCAGGCAACGAAAATCCAACACAGCAAGAAAAGAAGACAAGAATTCCTCCTATCGTCCTTCAGAATGGTATAGGACACTATACCAACTTAGTAAAGAACTTAACTGCTTTGCTAGGGCATAAGAACTTTTCTATTGCCCCTGCGGGTAAGAGCGGTACAAGAGTCTTTACTACAAGTATGGACGATTTTAACAAGGTTAAAGAGAACCTAGTTAAGGAGAATTTAGGATTCCATACCTTCTCGCAAAAAGAAGTTATCACGAAAAAGATCATTATGCGAGCAGCACCTAGGATGGACCTGAACGAAGTTACACAAGAAATGAGAGACGCTGGAATCGAAGCGAAGATAACAGCACTAAAACCTAAAAGTGGCTTAGACGGAAGTACTTACCTCGTGCAGGTACCTAAGTCTCAAGACCTGAAGGACATAAAGAAGATCACTGGAGTTCAGAACATCAGAGTTAGGTGGGATACATACAGCCGTCCACAAAGAGCAACACAGTGTTACAACTGTCAGGATTTTGGACATAGTGCCCGAAACTGCTTTAAACCAGCTAGATGCATGAAATGTGCATCAAACCACAGCACAAGAGACTGCCCTTTACCAAAAGGAAAAGTCAACAATGTTAAATGTTGTAACTGTGGTGAAAACCACACATCTAACTATCAAATGTGTATTAAACATATCCAATATCTTGATTTTCAGGCTCAGAAGAATCTCAGAAACCAACAACATCGTCAGGCAGCTCCTCCAAGCAGACCAGTACACCCATCGACGTACAGGAACGTTTCTAGCGGTATGTCATACGCACAAACCGCTAAAAACTCCTATCAACCACGACAGGCATCTAATCAACAAAAGCAAGAAGAAATAAAGGAATTATGGCAGGAGATCAACGAACTATGCAATTACGACAGGACAATTCAACTTCTAAAGGAACTTAGAGATGAATTAAGAAGACACACAGATCTTAGGACAAGAGGAGAGATCTTAGCAAGATACGAAGCTCTCTACAATGACAAATAAGAAGTTAAAAATTCTACAATTCAACATAGCCTCCCTAAGGCTAAGAACAAACGAATTAAGGGAAATGGTGATCCGTCTTCAACCTGATGTCATATGCCTGTCCGAAACGAGATTTCAAACTACAACACAACTACCGAGGATAACTAACTACGAGGGAATCGGAAGAAACACCCACAGAGGCGTGGCCATCTACGTGAAAAATCACATCGTATGGAACCAAGTAGACGTCGAAACTGAAAATTTCGAAAATATTGGAATCAAAATAGGAAACATTAATATTTTTTCAGTTTACAGGCCCTTCAGAGTAGACCTAGACTTAGGTGAAATAGAAGAAATGTTCAACACAGAAGAGACAGTAGTCATAGCTGGAGATTTCAACTGCCACCACATCAACTGGGGATGCCATGACACGGACAGAGAAGGTGAACAACTTTTCAGATACTGCGAAGACAGAGAAAAAATGTTGTTCGCACCTGACGAACCCACTAGGATAAATCCAATAAGAGGACAACGCAACAACACACTGGACTTATTCATCACGAAGAACATCATCGTAGAAGACGTCAGAACTCATTTTGAATGCAGTTCTGACCACAAACCAGTAACAGGCACCACGACGTCAAGAACAGACCTCCCTACTGTTGAACCAGAAGAACGATGGAAATGGAAAGAAGCAAACTGGCCAAACTTCAGAAGACAAATCAATCAATTCCAGATGAGAAGAGAATTTGAAACAACAGAAGAAATAGAAAGAAAAATAGAAGAAATCACCAGGAAAATACAACAAGCTATGAAGGACAACATCCCAAGAGAGAAGACAAACAACAAAGGACTCATCATTCCAAATGAAGTCAAGGACCTAATCAGAGACAGAAACAACGCAAGAAGGGCTTACCAAAGGACAAGAAGACAAGACTACAAGGACTACAGCGACGAACTGTCAGCAGAAATAAGGACAAGACTGACCAGCATCAACGAGAACAAATGGCACAACATCATCAGAAAAGCCGAAGAAAATCAAGGAAACGTCTGGAAAATGATGAAGGCCAGAAAAAGAGGAAAACAGAAAATGCCACCTATCACGGACGAGGAAGGAACACACTACGAGGCCCAAAGAAAAGCAGATGCAATTGCAAGAAAACTGGAAGCCACACACAGGCAAAATCAACACATGTCGGACCAGCAGACCATAAACGAAGTAAACAGGGCCTACAACAGGATTTCAGAAAGAAATCAATTCGTGATAGAAGAAGAAGACCATCTACACCCATCAGAAGTCCACAGGATCATCAAGAAACTCAAAGGATCCAGAGCTCCAGGACAGGAAGACATCCACAACATCGTCCTCAAGGAACTACCGAAGAAAATGATAGTACAACTGTACTACATTTTCAAGTATTGCCTTGAGAAAGCTCATTTCCCAAACAACTGGAAACACTCAAAGACGATACCTCTCCTGAAGCCAAGAAAAGATGGAAGAAGACCAGAAAGCTACAGACCAATATCACTGCTGGAACCCTTAGGAAAAATCCTGGAAAAAATCATATTCAAGAGGCTCATCAAACACGCTGAAAGAAGAAACATCATCCAAGATGACCAATTCGGATTCAGAAAAGGAAGAAACTGCGAACTACAACTCGCAAGAGTTGTCAGCGACACCAAAATCAGGTTCAACAGAAAACAGAAAACAGGGATGGCAATACTGGACATAGAAAAGGCATATGACACAGTATGGAAGAAAGCACTCATCTTTAAAATGGACAAGGCTAGATTACCTCATTATATAGTTAATATTTGTGACACATATTTAACTAATAGAACTTTTCATGTTTCAGCTGACAAAAAGATGTCCAGGATACAACAAATTCAAGAAGGGATGCCACAAGGCAGTATTTTATCTCCCGTTTTGTATAACATTTTTGTTTCAGATTTACCAACAGACGCAAGAACCAGTACAGCTTTGTATGCAGATGACACAGCAATCTACACTTCAGGCAAACAGGACAGAAGAATCATCCAAACATTAGAAGGCCACCTAGAGAGGATTGCAGAATTCACGGATAAATGGAAAATCAAGATAAACGCGGAGAAGACACAGTTCACCATCTTTACGCAGCAACCCAACCCACCAGCGGCAGAACTGACGATGAGAGGAAACGTTATACCAGCCACGCCCTCAGTGAAGTACCTAGGAGTCCATCTAGACAGAAAAATGAACTTCCATCTGCATACAAAGCAAATTAAGAAGAGAGCCACAATTAGTAAAAAACTAATTCTGCCTTACATTTTCAGGTCATCTCCACTAACGAAGAAGAAGAAGATTCAACTATATCAAGCATACGTCAGGTCGACAATGCTTTATGCAGTCCCAATATGGAGTTCAACCGCCAACAGCAACTGGAAGAAACTCGAAGCGACAGAAACGTCATGCTACAGAATAATCGACGGCACAGCATGGCAGGACCGGGTGACGAATGCAACCATCCAAGAAAGGCTCCAGTACACACCACTGAGGGAGGTGGCTGAGAAAAGGACACAGTACTTCTTCCACCAGGCCACAAGAAGACTCCTAAAGACCAGGAACATCCTCGAGAATAACAGGGCCCAGAGGATGTTTCGTGAAAAACATCGTCTGATCGATTATATGATCAGACAATAGCCAGGTGGTTGCAAACCGGTCAGGAAAGTAGGTACGATGCCAGAAAAAGTACCTACAGAAGAAGAAGTCCAGGAAACAACAAGTGAAGAATCAACGCCGAAAGGATGGAGGACAAAGGAAGTGGTGCACCAGCGGAACACTTAAAAGAAGAAAATGAAATATCTTAAGATAATGAATTATAAATTTTATTAAGGCAATAAACGTTTTTATTTTTTTATTTTTTATTTTATTTTATTTTATTTTTTTTATTAGCATCAGTTTAGTAATTCCAGAACTTCGGAAGTGATTTTACCGTAAAAATGACTGGACGTGGAAAGGGTGGTAAAGGTTTGGGAAAAGGTGGTGCTAAACGTCACCGTAAAGTATTACGTGACAACATCCAAGGTATTACCAAGCCTGCTATAAGAAGATTAGCTCGTCGCGGAGGTGTAAAACGTATCTCTGGTTTAATCTATGAGGAAACACGAGGTGTATTGAAAGTATTTTTGGAAAACGTTATTAGAGATGCCGTTACCTATACTGAGCACGCCAAAAGGAAAACAGTAACTGCTATGGATGTTGTATATGCACTTAAACGACAAGGTCGTACTTTGTACGGTTTTGGAGGTTAATTTATACCACTAACACTTTTATCTTCAAACAACGGTTCTTTTCAGAACCACAATTTATTGCTAATGTATAGAATGTAGACATAAAAACAGAAAGTATATTTCATTAAAGTTCGTTTTGTGATTGTGCAAGCAGGTAAATTTTAAGGTACGATACATTAACGGAGGGTAGTTCATGAATATGCATGCATTGTCTCATATTTTATTAATCTATATTGTCTTATATTTGTGCATTATAACCGTTAACTGCAGACAAAAAGAAGTCCGATTGGAAATAATTTCCGATTTCAGCAGTGTAAATTTTGGCGAAGGTGCCACCCGAATTTAAAAAATTCTATTTAGACGACTCTCTTGGATTATCGCGACAACGAATATTGTACTGTGCAAAATATGAAGGACGAAAGTAAATTGCAAATTATATTGTTGTTTATTGGAGTAATTATTAGAGCAAAATACTTTCGTACGTCTTATGTTACACACTAAAATATTCGTCGAAACGTTAATAAAATCATTTTTTAGTAAAATTTTGGCTTAGTTCCCACCAAAACTAGTTAAAATATTCGTCGTCGCGATAATCCAAAACAGTCGTATATTCGTGGAATACGCCATATCTACTGCACAACAGCAGTGCACCAACAGAAAAATTACGATCTATGACAATGTAAAAAAAGACATCTGAAAACAACTAAAGCAATGATACCTAAAAGAAACTTGAAATCATTCTCACATACGAAACGACGTGTGGCCCTGAAAAGGGCCGGGTTGGATAAAAAGGAATACTAACTCTTAAGCTTTCTTTTCAGTTTTTTTAGGTAACAGTACTGCTTGTATATTAGGCAATACTCCACCTTGGGCGATGGTAACTCCTGACAGTAATTTGTTCAATTCCTCGTCATTTCTTATGGCCAATTGTAAATGTCTAGGAATTATACGGGTCTTCTTGTTATCTCTAGCTGCATTTCCTGCCAATTCCAAAACTTCAGCAGCTAAATATTCCATAACAGCTGCCAAGTATACAGGAGCTCCAGCACCAACTCTTTCGGCATAATTTCCTTTTCTCAATAAACGATGAATACGACCTACAGGAAATTGTAAACCAGCACGATTTGATCGGGACTTTGCTTTTCCCTTTACTTTGCCTCCCTTGCCACGTCCAGACATGTTTTAGATTTCTACTTGCGTTGTTCTACCTTGAAGATCAAGCGAATACTGATATACCTCTAAAAAAACAACGATTTTTATACTATTTCTAGGACCAATCGGAAATAAGCAGTGTGTTTATATTATTTCTCGGACCAATCCGGAGTACAGGACGCGTGCTAGGGGGAGGGACCTAGCAGATATACTATATTTTGTATGAATATAATATATCTGCACTATCATTTTTTAGTTTCACTTTGATTTTCAAAGAGTAAGCGTCATTTTGTTTTTGCGATGCCTCCTAAGACGAGTGGTAAAGCTGCTAAAAAAGCAGGGAAAGCCCAGAAGAACATTTCAAAAACCGATAAGAAAAAGAAGCGAAAGAGGAAGGAAAGTTATGCTATTTACATTTATAAAGTACTCAAACAAGTGCATCCTGAT